CACGCTTGCGTAGCGATGGTCGGCTTGTCTTGTAACATTTCCTGCTCATTTCCGCTTAAACTTCTTTGTTCGTGCAAAGACATGCATACGTACATTCGTTCTTTTATCCACTCATTCATCATTTCCTTCATTTTATCGTTCTCAACATGCTGCGTTGCGTAATCTACGATTTATGAAGGCTGAAAGACCGTGTTTCGCATCCGCAGGAAAATACTGCTAACACACACTGATCAAAAATTCAGTGTCAGAACAAGGGCAGTTTCCTGGATAATAGCACCTTCAATCTTCCGAAAAAGCCCCATGCCATTTTTACTCTTCTGCTGATTTCGCAGGGTCGGTTGCATGTTGCAGAGATGAGCTAGCTCAGATAGATACAGCTTATTATTATTATTTTTATATCTAACCCAGTGGCTGGGCATCTTTCTAGAATCAGTCGCAAAGTGTGCCCAAACCATCGCAGCTGTGACCTCTATATCACTAGAAGCAACGGATGTGTACCAAGGGTTTCTCGGACAGCTGAAAGTCGACACGCGTGAACGTAACGATTTGTCGCAGAAAACTCATTTTAACCATCTGTGCCCAGGACGACAGTTTTTAAGTCATGGCCCCTCGCTAGTGACCATCGATGATGAGATTACACACGAAAATTACCTTGAGCACGGAAACTTCCCCTTCACAAACGTTTTCCACATCTGCTACGCTAAGGTGGCATACTCGTCGTCTTGACTGCTCCTGACTATTCTACCCATGTACAACACAAACAGGAGAGACCCCCCGAACGCAGCCTCGGCGAAGACACGTGCCGACGTTGAAAGATCTCGACCTAGCGCCATTTGCTCTGACACAGCACCTGCTATCAACAGCATATAGTGATTGGATGGCTCATGGCAATTGGCCATCGATCCCATACGCCCGCAAGCACACACGCAGCTTGTTACGCATGATGCGGTCATAAGTTCTCTCCAGGTCAACAGGGCAAATGTAAGCCGGATGAACGAAAGTCCACGATTTCTCAATCCGGTAATAGGCGCCTTGCCTTGCACTTCTTGCATGTTAGGGGCAGTTATTCCGCAGCACCGTTTTTCAAACGCCTTGGCATGCCATTCCATCGAGGCACGGCAAGGTTATGACCCGATAATTTGAGCTTATTACCCCAGTTCTAGAACAGGAGTACAACTAGCCCGTTTGCTAATCTGTTTGTAATTTCCCCGTAGCCATAGCGATTTCATGAAATTGTTTACTATGATGCTCCAATAACCATTATGCTCTACAGTCGAATCTCCCGGCAATTGCCCAGTGTTTGGAACATGCTCAAAGTACTTTCTCCATCGTCGAAGAATAATTTCGTCCTTGGTACGAACGCGTACAGACTTGCTCTACA